ATAGTTCTGGGTGGACAACAACACACAACCCACATAGGACGAGAGACCAGCACATACGACGGCATATGACACAACATGTAATGGCAGTGACTGGTATACACATCCAGACGACGAGGACAATTTGGTCAAGTGGTGATAGGGCAAGGTAACCAGGACCCGCCTTCTACGGCGCGCCATCACCATCACAATCGCCATCACCACCAGCATCATCATCATCACCGTCATCAGCATCATCAACACCACAATCAGCATCTTCATCATACTCATTATCATCATCATCATCATCATCATCAACATCATCATCATCAGTAGCCGTTTCGACTCAAGTTCGAAACACGATTCCCTTGTGCTTCGAGCTTGCTCGCAGCCAAGGGAACTCCTCGAAACCGGGGCACAGCTGCCCTTTCTTTGCTTGCTGCTCCCGCTCATACCTTTTCGGATCCCAGTCTGCTCGGGCGCCCCATGGCCCTCGCAGGCGCGGATGCGTTGACCTCCGAGCTGACGGCTCAGGTAGCCAAGATGAGTGATGTCCTCACTTCGGTCATGGCTTAGGGATTCGTGCTTGTCTCTTACATCGAGGCTTTGCAAGTTGGGCTGGACAAACAGACGGCGAACATTCCCAACACTGAAAAAAGAGTTGGCCTTGCCTTACTCCTTTCGTGTGCGAGCAGCAGCGGTTTCGGTGTCAGCAGCGAGGGCAATGGTGACGGCAGCTCCGCTAAGAAACCCAGGGCCAGACCTTGTCTTCGATTCGGTTCTCCGGACTTGCTGTTACATGCCATCTTCGTCGGTTTTGAATGCTTAGCACATTTTTAAAGTTCTGTTCGAAGCAGGTGTCCCAGTTCTCTCCCCAATTGGTACTGAGCATGTGAAGTCCGCGGCGAAGGGCACCCCCGCAGAACTTCTCGAAGGAAGTGATTCTAGCGTTCCCATCCCCAGAAGCAGCTTCCCATATCATCGACGGGTTTAGGAAACGCTCCCCTTACGGTTTCGAGTTCTCCACCACCAAGGGCTCCAGTAGGTGGCGGCTTAAACCCTGAGTGATGATGAGACTAGCAAGCCGTCCATTGTGATGTCTAGGACTCATGGCGAGCTTGACGCCACTCTCAGTGCGAAGCCGCCCGTCGCGAAGTGGCCTCTAGATTTGTCAGCCGGCAACGGGTTCACAATTGCAGCGAAGGCTGAGTGAGACAAGTGAAGCAGTGAAGCTTCTCCACTTCGCCAAACCCAGCTCGAGTCAGCAAATGCACCGAATGACCTCGTTCGTTTGGCGCTTTGAGGATGTGTGGATATGATGAAGACAACAGTTGATTGTGGACAAAGTCATGGGCCAGTTCAGCCTGTGACAACCTGGCTGCTCTTGCGGCTGGTTTGCTCACGCAGGTCTGCGTCTTCCTCCTGTGTGCCGGTCGATTGCGAAAGGCATTATTCTATTTTTGGGTGCAATGGGCATCGCTATTCTCCTTTCGTCCCGATGGAACCGCTGTTTGTCGTTACTACAAATGTAGGTTTTCTGTTGGGTAAATTTGTCAATCGTGAAATTGCGCGAAGTAGTGCACAAAAGCGTTCGTACGATGCGCTGCCAGTTTGTCTGCATTCAGATGTCGCGTGGGCATCTCGGTGCCCTGGCTGCTATCTACGAAGTATCCAAATATATTGTTTTCCCTGTTCCCGCTTCCAGAGATTTCCTCTGGGCAGGGGGTCCCGTTGTGCTATTTAGGGGAGTTGGTTGGGTGTTCGCTGATTCCACTTTCCTTTGCATCCTGGGCCTGTTGTCGTTCCATGTTGGACGTCGGTGTTGGGATTGGGTGCTCTTGCCTCTGCCTCTTTATCTTCCTTTCTACGCTTTCGCCCTCCTCTTCTGCCAAGTTTGCGTTCAGTGGTGTGGGGAGGCTGGCTCTTGAGTCTGTGCAATCTAGTAGGGGCGTCGCCGCCTTCTCGGGCGTGTGGAATGTAGTGGGCGGTGTGGGGTCGGAATTATTCCAGCCGCCGGGTTGCTGCGATCACGGATCCTTCTGATCAGTGTGCGTTTGGCTAGGGCCACGGTTTCACTGCATGGGGCGCATGCTGTGCTTCGGAAGTCTACGTGTTGTCGATTGATTGCCTCTCCCCATGAGTTTCCCCATTGGTGCGTCAATGCTTCGCGTGGTTTGCGTGCGAATGTGCTGCTTCTGATAGCTTTTCCTTTGCGAGCCGTCTCGTACTCTGTTTCTGTTACCATATTGGGTGCACGTGATCCGTGCTATGTTCAGCGGCCGACGTCTGGCTGTCGGAAGGGAGGCTCTCGAACTGGCGTGGGTCCTCCCCTGGCACGAAGTGTTGAGCAACCTTGCACGTGTGCAGCGCCATTGCGGCTGGCTTAGGTACACAGCATGCCACATCATGCGCCCACGAGCGGATCTCGCATTACTTTTCGCAGTGGCCAATGATCCGACTGTCGCGAAAAGAGCAACGCGACGGATTGCAGACCCTTCGCGTTGTTTTTTTGAACGTGATGTGCATTCGGGTGGTGAGTGTGGTTTCGCCACTGGTGTACGACCGCGCTGCCGGGTGCTTCCTTCCTACAAGGACATGGCCAGAGAAAACTAGCAGTGTTTAGAGGTGGAGTGTTTTATCGGGAGACGTGTTTTCATATTGGCTGGGAAGCACTCTTTGAACAGAGGCAGTCGATGACGCCAGGGCCCAGAAGCAACGTGAAGGACAGGTGGGGAGTGTGGCCGAATAGATAGATTCAACGTCGATCCTGGGTTGTCTACTAAGTATCTCCGCCGAGTTGTTGGTCCTTTCTCTTCCCGCTTTGCCCCCGCCCCTGTTTCGTGGCTCTTTGTCCCCCCCCCCGCTCTGGCTTGCTCCTCCGCTTCCTGCTCTTCGGTTGTCAGGTGAATAAGAGTCTGCGGTCGCCTATATGTCGCTTGTGTTGCCTCTTCGTCGGCTGTTCCCCTTTTGTCACTGCCCTTTTTCTTTTTCGCTTTCGGCCGCGATTATGTGGATGCTTGTGGCTTTCCGTAGGTCGACGCAGCAGCCTGCTTTTTTGTCGCCTGCCGTTTTGCTTCCCTGGCGCGGGGCTGAACATAACAGAAAACCGCCCTCTGGGTGCCGCCGCTTCTCTTTGGCCTCTTTGCCGCTCTTGCTCGTCTTCTTTTCCCATGGTGTTTCGAGCTTGCTCTCGATTGAGTGGGCTGTTCGGAAATTGGGTACATCTGACATTGCTGTTACCTTGCTTTTATTGCCCTCGCGCGCGCGAGGTCCTGACATGTTCGAGCGTCTTGCTCTCTGTCTTTGTTGGATCAGCGTGTCTGTGTTTGTTCTTGTGTCCCCCCTGTGTGGTCCCCTGCTGCCTCTGCTGTCGTCGCTGTTGCCGTTGAGGCGCGTCCTCTCCTGCGCGTGGTTCCTGCCTGCTGCTCCGCAGTGCTTTTGCCGCGTCTGCTGGCGGTGTTTGGGTTGCCCTTCGCCGTGGTGTCTTGTTTTCGGTTCCCGATCTGCTCGGGGGCGCTGTGGCTCGCAGAGGTTCGGAAGCGACCTCCGAGCTGACAGCCCAGCCTCTCCTGTCCGCTCTCTGCTGCGCGAGTGCCCCTCTTTCCGCGGCCCGCGCCGCCCGCCTTCCCTTTCGGACCAGCTCGTGGGCAGGATGCTGCTGCCGCCTTGTTCTCTCGGGGCGGTCGCAGAGTCTGCCTGGAGCGCCGTGGGTGGAGCTCCGACCCCATCGCCTCTGTGTGTTTAGAGGTCGCCCACCTCCGTGGCGCACAACTGATGCGACCAGTCTGTGGCTGCGCACATCGGCTCGGCTCCGTTTGGCTGCCCTCGCCCGTGCGCGGGGTCTTGACAGGTTTGAGCGTACCTCCGCCCGTGCTTGCCGCCGCCGCCGTCGAGGTGCCTCCCCGACTCTCCCGGGTGGCGAGCTTAGTGCGTTGCTTGTCGCTTGTGGCCGCCCCCTCCTCCATTCCTGTTCTGCGTGCTCCTGCCTCGTCTATCCTTGGCGCCCGTCCTATGCGACGGTATGGCGCTGTTTTGACCCAGTGCCTGCATTGCTCGTCCCGGTCGATGCGTCTACTATTTCCGCACTTCGTTTGATTCATCGATTGCCACCTCGTTCGTCGCCATCGGCCCGCTGGAGGAAAACATCGTCATCATCATCACCATCAGCATCGTCATGGGCAACGCCATCATCACTTTCACCAGCCCCGCCATCACCACCATCACCGTCATCATCCCCGTCATCGTCATGGCCACCATCGGCATCATCACCGCCGTACCTCATCACCACCACTGTCGTCACCATCGTCCTCGCCACCACCAGCACCATCAGCGCCATCACCATCAGCATCACCGTCACCATCGTCAGCGTCATCATCGTCCTCCTCGTCTCCCTCCCTCGCCCCCGGCCGCCCGCCGGGGCGCGAGGAGGGCTGCGCACCGTCCGCCGCGGCCCAGCCTGGCGGAGGTGCTCTTCCCTGCAGGGGGTCGGCGCGGGGGCGCCAAGATCGCCGCGCGCCGCGCGGCGCGGGCCTCGAAGGTAGGCGACCAGCAGCCACGCGCAGAGGGGGGGTATGGGGGGTAGGGGTATAGGGGGTAGGGGGTATAGGGGGTATAGGGGATAGGGGGTAGGGTAGGGTAGGGGTAGGGGGTAGGGGTAGGGGGTTTAGGGGGTAGGGTATAGGGGGTATAGGGGGTAGGGGGAAGGGTAGGCTTCTTGGAGGGTGCGGGACCGGCGCCTTGAAGAGGCAGAGTCCTTGTCTACAGCTGTAGGACCAGCGCCTTTAAGAGGCAGCGTCCTTCTGAGAAGCCTTCCTCCCTCCCTACCCTTTTGTGCGCGCCGCCAACCGTCGGCAGCCCGCCCCACCAAGGAATTTGCCGTTGTGTTATCGGGGGCCTATTGCCGGTCCGTTGGTTATGGTCGATTCCAATTCGATGCCCCCCCTCCGTGAGCCAGTTCCCTCTTCGACGTTCCCCTTCAAGGGGCCTGCAGTGCCTGCGGTCGGCATCCAGCGAACACATCCGTCGCCATTGTGGCTCAAGCCGTTCGGAAAGTAGTCACGGAAACAGATCACGACTTCTAGGTTCTGTGAGTAGACTGGTCATTCAGAGGCCGCCCCTGTGCAGCAAGCATCATGGATCAGCAAAATCCGAACTTCATGCCGCAGACAATGGATGGTGATGGTAAGACGGTCGGTGCGCGGGTGCCCCCATCTTTCTGCGCGAAGTGCTGGTTGCCGCCGTGTGCCATCTCGGGGTATGAGACCGGCGATCCCACCGCGGGCATGTGCTCTGGCATGGCCCTGTGGGCTTTCATCCTCGAAATTCTCTGCTGCATGGGCTGCGTCGTGTCCCTGTGTTGTTGGTCGCCAGATCCACAAAACATCACAGGGGACGGCTCGCAGCGCACCGTGGAGGACAAGTGCATGGCTGGCTGTTGCGTCGGCTTCCTGGCCATTGCCTTCTGGGAGAACGGTGACTTCTGCTGCGGGCCAGACGGTTCGTGCACCTGGTGCACCGAGGAGGCGATGAAGGGCTGCTTGGCTCACTGGATCCCTGGATTCGTCGGCCTCCCGCCCCTGGATTGCTGCTACGTCATGTGCATGTGGAAGCCCGAGCAGTCGCGCAGGTTCTTCCGCCGCGACCTGAGCAACCACGGGGGCGGGCAGCCTGCCCCCGTGGGCGCCCCGGTGCAGACCGCTGCAGGGAACCTCCCGTACTTCCAGGTGTGCTGTTCCAAAAAAGGGCCTTGCCTTCGAGGACCCAAGGAGTTGTCATCTCTTCCTCGGCGGAAGGG